AAAAAAAAAAAAAAAACACTTACCCTACTACCGTACATTCTGTGACCTCCACCTCCGACATTAGCCCCTTTAATCCTTGAAGGCCCAGAATTAGCACCTTCAAGCCTTGAAAACCCAACATTAGCCCCAGCAATTCCTACAATCCCATCCCAAACTTTAGCCCCTTCGAACCTTAACATTCCTACAATCCCAACCTCCCAAAATAGACCCTTCAAGCCCTCTTATCCCACTTCACACAATAATTCCAAGCCCCTCCAAGAAGAAAAACTTATGTACCACCGTTTCATTGCCTGGAGGAGAGATAAAGAAAGGGGGCAAATGAAATGAAGATAGGGAAGTATTTCTCCCCTCCAAACCCACCTACTACTATCCTACCCCAAAATACATTAGTCCCATCAACTAGTCCTACAACTCCACTTGATCCAACTTTAAACCCTCCTCTTAGCACAGCCATTGCCCCATCCATTACTACTCTCACCCTTCCAAACATTGCTTATCCACCACCTCCAGTCCCCATCTTCCCACCTCCCCTGCTCCAACCCTTCCTCCCCTTACTTTATGTTATTACCAACTGGACACGGCATTGTCCGAAATCGAATTTCTGCTGCATCATCATGCTCTGCTGATTGCAGGCAACATTCAACCATGCCATAGATTGCCAATAAGTTAAATCAATGCTTAGATCAAGAAAAACACATTGTTGCTTATTCATGTCATTATCTTAAATACACTGTGGTACATTCAAACATTTGATGTGAAACAAAGAGAACAAACAATGATATTATGGGACAACTGATAACATTTTCGGTGTAAAAATAAGAAGAAAAAAACAGAAACTAGATAATAGCAAATGCAAGAATCGTATTATAAGTGAAACACAATATTAACATACTTCTCATAAGGAGCTAGGCAGGGAAAGAGAGAGTGATCATCTTTCTATATGTGGTGATTTTTAACAATGACAATTTTATAATTTTATAATTTGACCATTGATCATCTCGATATTATAAGCTTTTGATCAATCTGAGTGATTGTGCTACCTCTGTCATGATGGGCCTGTCATCCGGATTTGTTTTGAGACACCTCTCTATGAGCTTAGCACATTCCACTACTTGCTTCTTGTTTTTTTCTTCCAAGACATTGGCCTCTAAGTAGGTTTTGAAAAGATTTGCTAACTGTCTAAACTCTAGCTCGTTATATGAACTTGAACTGCCTTTGTTAGAATTCTCCATAAACCAAATTAGTAAACTATCCCATCTCTTTCCTGCGAAGATCTCACATAACAGAATTCCGAAGCTATGGACATCACTCTTTTCTGAAGTACGTCCTGATATAGCATATTCAGGAGGCAGGCACCGATGAGTCCCAGTAATTACCTCAACATCCACATGAGTTTTACCCAACGGAATTGGCACTGAGGTTCGGAACTCAGACAGCTTTGCAACGTAGTCTTGGTCTAAGAAGATATGTCCAGGCTTTATATCTCGATGGATGATCATCTTCGGCATGCCATAGTGGAGATAGGCAACTGCATCTGCTACTTCAATTGCAATCTTTAACCTGATCTGCCATTGTAGTGATTAGCCTTCTCCATAGATGTGGCGTGAGAGGTTTCCTTTTGCTGGGAATTCGTAAACTAGCATAGGCAACTCAGACTCGAGGCAGCATCCCAAGAGCTTCAAAACATTCTTGTGCTTTCTCATGTTCGAGGCTATTGCAGCTTCATTTGTAATCAGTTCTAGAGGATCCATGTAACTACTTGAGCGTGCTTCAAAAAATTTCACCAAAATTCCATGGTCTTCATGAACTCCTTTGTACAATCGAGAGTTCCAATCCCGATGTGCCATTCCATCCCAGCAATAATCATTCGTTGCTTTCTTGAGCTCTTCTTTGGAGTACATCCGAATCGGATTACAATTCCCATAGAAAGAATGTATAAGCTGTTCTAACATGGCAGCTCCATTCTTCAAGAAGCATCCCTCCTCTTTTGTCTTGTATTTCTTGGTTCTGAAGCATGATAGTATATTCGAAGATTGGTTTTCAGTTGCCAAAGTTGCAGCACTATCTGTGGACTAGCCTGCTTTTGTGGTCCTGTTTCAGCTGACAGTTAACTAGGGGCTTAACTTGTTGACTAATAATTCTTTAGGAACTATCCTGGTTTTTTCTGGGTGTTTTCCTATAAGGCTTGTGGAAGAAACAAAACATCTGGTTTTGGACCACAAATGTTTAACAATTATTAGAGTAATACATAAGGTTTGATTCTTGAAACACGGTTTTAGTTTTCATTATTTTGATTTTAATGACACTGGCTTATTGGAAGATTAGTTTTCAGTGGACTAATAACAGCTCACATGGCTGGTCCACCCTCTCTGCAGACAGTCAAACTGGGGGTGCTTTACGCGTAATACATGAATTGTAGTTCAAATTTGTCTTCATGACTCTTCAATACCTTGAATAGACTTGAAGACTTTGAAAATAAATTGGGTTTGGTATGCCTTTGAAGACAAACACAGAGAAAAACGGTGTCTCATTTTATTCAAAGTCTTCAAGTCTACTATTGAATATAAAATTTGAACTTGGAGAAAGTGACTTAACCCCAAGTTCACTCTCTGAGCACAGGACAAAAAGACTCGGCTATTAATGTCCGCAGCTAAAGTTGTATTGTTATCAAATGGAAAACCAATCTTTCGGTATGCTATCATGCTTCAGAAACCACAAAAACAAGAGAAAAGAGGGCTACTTCCTGAAGAATGGATCTGTGATGTTGGAACAGCTCATCCATTCTTTTAATGGGAATTGTAATCCGATTCGGATGTACTCTGGAAAAGAGCTCAAGAAGGCAACAAACGACTACAGCTGGGATAGAATGACACATGAGGATTGGAACTTCCAACTGTACAAAGGAGTTCATGACGATCATGAAATTCTAGTGAAGAAGTTTAAAGGAGCCTCAAACAGTTGCATGGACCCTCTAGAACTAATTACAAATGAAGCTGCTGTTGCCTCAAACATGAGCAAGCAAAAGAATGTTTTGAAGCTCTTGGGCTGCTGCCTTGAGACTGAGTTGCCTACTCTTGTTTATGAATTCCCAGCAAAAGGAATTCTCTCCCATCACATCTATAGGGACAGTCAATTGCTACCATGGCAGATTAAGCTAAAGATTGCAGTTGGAGTAGCAGATGCAGTGGCGTATCTCCACTACGGCATGAGAAAGAGGTTCATCCATCGACATATAAAGACAGAACATATCTTCTTAGACCAAGACTACGTTGCCAAACTGTCTGAGTTCCAAACCTCCGTACCAATTCCTTGTGGTGAAATTAATGTTGATGCCAAAGTGTTCGGGGCTCCACACCACTTTGCTCCAGAACTATACACTTGTGGGCGTTATAACGAGAAAAGTGATGTCTATCATTTTGGGATTGTACTGTGTGACATTCTAACAGGAAAGAACACTGCTGATTTACAAGCTTTTGAGGTTGTAGCGGATTTGGAAAGCACTTTGGATGATAGAAGCATGGGGCAAGTAGCAGAATGCACCAAGCTCGCATTATGGTGTCTCGAGCAAGATCCTTATGATAGGCCCACCATGAAAGATGTTGCAAGGAGATTCAGATCTCATTGCATCTCGAAGGGAGATGTCAAATACCAAACATCAAATTTAAATTTAATGGCTTTTGATGGCTGATGTGGCAATTTGACATCTTAGAGCATCTCCAACTGATATGTCAAAAGTGCCACGTAAACATTTAACGGCTAGAAATAACATCTCACATCCCTCCAACCGAATTGTCAAAGGTGATGTGGAATGAAGGTTGGAGATTCAGCTGTTATTTTTGACATACCAAAAGCAAGATGTCAAATGAATATTTTATTATTTTTAAAGACACCTGGCTGTTACTTTCTTTTTTTTTTTTT